TGTTTTTTTTAAGCTGGATGCCAAATTTTTATATTTGTGTAAGTGTTTGCATCCGATGTTCATAGCGTCGGGGTTATGTGTTCATATTTTTTATATGATATGAACAATGGGTGAACACGATATGAACAAGGGGTGAACAACCACATAAGACCAGAAACATATATGAACAAGGGGTGAACAACCACATAAGACCAGAAACATATATGAACAAGGGGTGAACCTTAAACGGTGTGGATGCAATGCATGTATAAAACTCCAATTGACAAAGAATCGCTCCTGAATGTGTTTATAATAAAGGAACTATTGTTCACAAGCTGTTCATATTGTGTTCATATATGTTTTTTTATTTATTTCCTTTCGTATAGTAGTTATTCTTATTACGTTCATAATTGTGTTCATAAATGTTATTCAGTCAAAGTTCATACATATGTCAATTTTTTGTTCGTATTTGACACAATGGTTCATATATATATATATATATATATATGTGTGTTCATATGATTCTTACATTAATAAAAATCATAAATTTTTTTGATTTTGTAACTCCCAATTAATGATATGAGAGTTACATAATTTTTTTTTTACCTAAATACCCTTTTCAACTTTGTTCATTTATCTTTTATGAAATTTTAAATTTAAAAAAATAAGTTTTTATCATAATTAATCACAACCGTTAATTGAAAGATTGAATGACCAAGATCGGTTAACAAAGTTAACACAAAAACTTTAGTTAACATTTAATCCTGACCCTGTATATATATATCAAAATCATTTATTACCCCACCCTTTGTGGCATCTCGTAGAGAGAGGTTTGTTGTTCGTGGTCAAAGTGAAACAACTAAACATAAAAACACATTTATCGCATTTTTTGTAGCATATGACATATTTAAGAGGAAAGGTTAATTGCATTCTGAACTCTTGTTAAAAATATCCTTAACCGTAAATGATAATTGGGTTTTTTTTTTTGTTATTTAAATATCTTATTAGATTTTAATTATAAAAAATTCTCTTTTTCTTTTTATTAA